AATGTAGCAGAATGCAGCAGCAAGTAAGAAATTTAGGAACAAAAGAACTAACAGCAGAATTATGCCAAAAGTAATAATTGCATAGCGATTGAGCTGTACGAAGAACGCCAGAACTGTGATAACGAGGCAGATGGTCCGCGACAGTCGCGTGCGGCGGATCGACTACACAAAACAATTCCTACTGCCCATTTCCCGACTTGCTCAGACCCACCTAGGAGCTCAGGATATAATTCATTTTAGAAGCAAATACAGTATCAATGCCCTAATAGCAACTTTTTGTAACAAGACATGATGGAGTGGATTTGGAGACCGAAACGAAGGTACGGTATTAGAACCCGGTCCTTACATTACTCCAGCTATGGATACAGCCCCAAACGCCCAGACATGATACAACAAGATTCGCCCGAATCTTTCCCCAAGGTTTTCTTTCAGTGCGAGCTGTTTGTGACAGGTCTAAGATTTGTGTATTCGTAGCCTACTGAATTTTCGTTCCTATGCTGGATAATACCTGTTCAATTCCAACTTTTCGTATAGGCTCTTCTTCACGGTGCTCCTCCAGTGGACCCGTCCAAGTTCATTTTTATTATTAACAATCCCGAAAATGAGTATGAAACTATCTGGGAATAACCCTTCTGACAATGAACTTAGCAGTATTGTACTAGAGAGTCCTAAGTGTCAAGCCGGGAAGTGTGGCTTGGGTGAGCGTGCGCGGGAAAATTTTTCAAAAGGGCAAACATTTCGATCGGGTGCAGAACATTTTGAGCAATTAGTTATTTTGTTGATCTTTAACTTCTTTATGAGTTGTGAGATATGTTTTCTTATGTGAATGGATATTGTAAATGATGCACACTTCTTTCTTAATGAACAAACTGTATTTTATATGACTTCATGTGTCTTGGAAGTCATCTGAAGTCATCAGTTATCTGTCAGTCATCTGCGTTTCTTCATTACTCCGCTTTGCGAACGACTTAAGCATTGTTTCTGATAAATTTTGCTGAACATTTATTGCAGATGGTTTTTAGTGATGCATCACAAGTTGAAAATTGCACTTACTGTTATTCCCTACAATGTAGTTTACGAATAGAATCCATAGCAAATGTCAACCGTAAAGGTGCAGTGGCATCGAAGAATGCGACGCTCACTATTGGGCGGAATTTGGCACGGTAAGTCACTGAACTTCTTTAGCTTAGATAGGAACCGGTAGAGAAGTTTTGAAAATCTCAGGGAGATCGTGCTTCAAGTGGAACTGGGTGGAGTTTCCGGTGGACGACCTGCAGTTGCTTCATATAGCTTGATCGATTGTATTATACATAGAAGAAGTATTGCTCAAGGGAAAGGTGCTATAGAAGTACCAAACAGGTTTGTTACTTTGAACGTTCGACTTCACAGTTTTTTTTTTCTGTAGAGCTCATTACGGTATGATGATAGGGATCATTGGAAACGCTCTACTACACGTTTTCTTTCCTTGTAATGAATGAATACTGTGTACGACTGAGCTGTATGGTTTATACTTGCCATTCCTTGAAATTTCTAGAATAGCAAGCAAATATGCTTATTTTCGTCAACTAAAGATCATTCAAACAATGGAGAGTTGTGTGGGTAGGAGAGTCGGAATCGAAGTGCGACTCCACAATCGAATAACCTGGATAGGCAACCAACGGTGTGGCCTAAGTGGACAACGCTTTACCGCAGAAAATGACCTCTATTTTTCATTAGGCCTTTCCGAAATACGTGCTTCGAAAAAAAAAGAAGTTTGGTCTTTTCTAAATATTGTTTAGCATGTGCAGTTGGTCAGATAGAGGAAGTAGTTTGTTTCGTTGATCACACTCGAAAGGAATTCTAAGTTCGACTTCATAGAAAGAAGACCTCAAAGTACCAAAACTATCCTTTTTCTTTGACATGTTCAACACTATTTTGCGATATTTACGATTGCCAGAGAAATAAAACCACATACATTAATCGTTCCTTACACTTCTAAATCATGAGAACAACCACTTCGAAAATGCTTTACATAAGTTTGATGGCCTTAAATCGAGGGACAACGGGGTGGTTTGTTATGGTTACTCTAGATCTTATAATACATTGGAAAAACTAAATGATATTCAGTTCCGTTTAGAGGTGTTCCATGACTTTGTTCCGATTGGCCCATCAGTGGTTGCTTCGATAAGTGAGTTTATTGATACGAATGTATTTTGCAGGAAGCTTGTTATACAGCTGTCAAACTGCGCTCCACGGAAGCTTAATGTGTTTCTTAAGTCCTTACAAGCAAAACTTGACATCATGCATTCTGAGCGGTCGCAATCCGCCACAACTCAAAATCGCACTCCTCTGGCTATTTCTAGGTAAGCTTTCTTGTTTCAGTATCGAAATCTTACTCTCTATAACTAACAGAGAGACATGCCACGATATGTTGACATACTTTGGGTTCGCCAGCTTGATGGCGTTCCGATTTCTGAACCTGAACGTCCTGTAAATGGCTTTATTTTCAGAAAAAGCCATTTGCAAGAACTACCAAGCCTGCACACAGTCCTCAGCCCATTGAGTATTGAAGAGATTCGTCGAGTAAGAAGGTGAGCCTTAACAACGCTGTGTACCTTTAACTTTAGATTCTTTTCTAAATTTTTTAATCGTTTTGTTGATGGGATATCATCCTCAGGTTACGCGGATTAGCCGATTCTCCGTTGTGTAATCCACAAAAGCCTGTATCTTCTGAACCGTCATCAACGCCGAAAGTTTCGAGGAAACCACTTCAAAAGGTTTTACTACTCACTTATTTTATGCTTCCATGGTTTTTTTTAGGTACGTTTCATGTTGTTTTAAGCCAGCTTCGACAAAAAAGACTGAGACAATCAAGTTATCTGAAGAGCAACGAAACGTGATACGTTGCGTNCTGCAGACTTCGGAAAATGTGTTCTTTACCGGTAGTGCAGGGACTGGAAAATCAGTAGTGCTGAGGCGGATCATTGAAATGCTACCAGCGGCAACTACATTTGTTACTGCTGCAACTGGTGAGTCCTCTAAGGCATGCGTCGTAAATTAGATACTCTTGCATTCAGTCATGTTCGTAGGCACACGATTTGAGATTTCTGTTGTTGTATCCCACTCTAATTCTGAGTAACTACTGTTTCTCTTCAAATTAAGGCGTTTCCAATTTCGATTTTTCTCCACTTCTTTTATTTTATTAGGCGTGATCCTATTTCTGGTCTTGTTTTCAACTTTGGCAAATTTGCGGTGCTCTATGTCCTTTTTTATCTATCCGTTCAAACCACTTTTTGAGTCTTAGGCCGGGAGCAGGATATAGTTTTCTATAAGCAGAAATCACGGAACATCAAATAGTCATGTATTTGTTTTAGGTGTGGCTGCTTGCCAGTTAGGGGGTATCACTCTGCACAGCTTTGCTGGAATAGGAGTTGGACGTGGGTCTCCTGAAGAGTGCCTTAACACAGCACTATCAAAAGACAACGTGGTGAAGCAGTGGAAAACGTGCACACACCTGGTTATTGATGAAATTTCTATGGTTGATGCGGAATTTTTCACCAAAATCGAATATGTGAGTTTTACGGACATCTTCGATATGTTGCTTTTATCATAAAGATTTCCATCAAGAGCTTCCGTCTTTGCGCTGTTTACTTTAAGTAAGCTTCAAGTACTTTACAAGTTCATTAATTATCTTTCCTAATTGTCTCCCTGTCGAAAAGATAGTGATACATCCCTCTGTTTGTATACACCTTTAAAGGCTTCTAAGATTTGTTTGGGAAATAAGATCGGGTCAGAACCTTTTGCAGCCACTACGCAAACTAACTTTCGATGAGTTGGCCAGGACGTGATGGTTTACATCTAAGTCTTTTTTTGCAATCCGAAGTTCATTGTTACGTAGCTTTTCTCACTCTTAGCGATAAAATTAATTTGAAGTCAGTCCATAATTTGGTCTTTTTTCTGTGGTTGTCGCTTTTATGAATACCAAAGTTATTTCTAACCGGTGGTTAAAACAAGTTCATTCTCTTGCTCTTACTGCTGTAAAATATGGTTTTCGGTCGCTCGGCAAATCCGCGAAGATAACCGTCCTTTTGGTGGTGTGAAATTGATCGTAACTGGTGATTTCCTTCAACTGCCTCCAGTGTGTGGCAAAAACGATACCGTGAAGTTCTGCTTCGAGGTTCTTTTCTGATATACTGTTTCTATTGGATTTCCCGCTTCTAACTCAAAGTTCTTTGTTTCTAANTTTTTTTTTTCGTTTAGTCTGAAGCATGGAATCGTTCCATTCAAAGGACTATTATGCTGAAACAAGTTCACCGTCAAGACGACGCACATTTCGTAAAAGTTTTGCAAGAAATCCGTGTTGGAAAGTGAGTTTTCCCCTGCTTCCCTTCATTCGTTTTGCTATTATTCGGGTTTCGTTTCAGATGTAGTGATGACGTCTGCACAGCGCTGTCTGGGACTAAAAGCAACGATTTCTCGGTCGATGGATTAGTCCCTACAAGACTCTGTACGCATACTTCAGATGCGCTAGCCGTGAACACTCGATGTCTTGAGGAACTAGAAGGTACGAAAACCCTCTATTCTGCTTACCGTTACCTTCTCAGTTCTCTTTCCAGGGGCGTGTAAGGTCTTCGAGGCAGAGGATAGCCAGTTTATCCCAGAATCCCTCCGAGGCACCGTTGCGAAAAGACTGGTTCTGAAAGTTAACACTCAGGTCTTTTTTTTTTTGTTTGAAGCTTTTCGCATTGTACGCAGAAACTCAGCCACCCCTGACTTTTTCCTTCCAATAGCTTAACCCAGTCAGAGGAGGAATGTATGATTGGAGTTCAGTTCATAAGTGTATGTTGCATTTCGTACTCTCCGGTGTAGGTAGGTTTTAGGGTCCTAAGTAAGAACATCCTTTTGATTTGACCATCCATTTCATGCACGGTCGTGAGAGGTAGAACACAAATACGACTTTCCGTGAGAGTTTCCTCCAAAAATTTTGTGGTTTGCTCAGTATCTCCAGGCTTCCGTAGAAATTATAGAAAGCGCCCACATCCACATAAATGTACCCGTGCCATCGCAGCCTCTTACCGCATTTTTTTAAAATTACTGTTTTCTGACAACTTAGTCTCAGGTGAACATGACATTCCTACACCCGGATCACTGTCTGTTCAGGTAATGTTGATGAAAAACTTGGACCTCTCACGAGGGCTTTCAAACGGTTCTCGAGGAGTAGTGACGAAGTTTTCAAAAAGAGGATTTCCACTCGTCAGGTTCTATTCAGCACACGAAGAAATCGAGGTTTAGATTTTCCATGTTTTTTTTTCTCTTCCACTCTGGTGTTTCTATGCAAACGCTTTCTTAGGTGACTCCAATTCGCTTTGCTGTTCGTGTACCTGGTAATGATGAACCGGCATGTCGACGTCAGCTGCCACTACAGTTAGCATGGGCCATTTCAATCCACAAATCGCAGGGACTCACTCTTGATGCAGTAGAAGTGAGCCTTGAAAGGTGCAGTTTCACAAGCTTTGATCGTATTTCTCTGTTACAAATATCTCTATCCATGACGTTCTCAACAGCAGTGATCTACTTCCTTTTATTTTTTCAGAGTCTTTGCTGAGGGACAGTCATACGTGGCACTGTCTAGAGCACGTAGTCTCTCTTCACTCCGAGTGATCGCTTTTGATGCATCTGTTATTAGAGCGAACAAAAACGTTATCAAGTTAGTTATTATTTCCGCAACTTTTCTTCCTCGTTTCGAATGACACTATTTTTTTCTGTTCGTTCAGATATTACGATTCGATCAAGGAAATCGCTGACGCTGAAGCTGAAGAAGAGAATTTCATAGTACGAAAGCGTCGCAAGCTGTTTTAGGAATTGCTAAGCTAAAGACCTTTTTGTTTTTCATATGTCGCCAAATGTTTGTTTTGTAGGCTTAACTCTTTCGAAATGGAATTTTCTGAGATCTATCGCCCTTGATCTTTCTTTTTGTTAGTTAGCGTAGAAACTATAGGTGTGTTTGGTAGGTGATACAAATTTCCTGAAGAAAAATCGAGCAGATCGGTAGAGAAGTTTTGAAGCCTTCATGTCCTTTGTATGTATGTATGTATGTATGTATGTATGTATGTATGTATGTATGTATGTAATGCAATGCGATATGACTCGTAAGCTTCGACGAGGCATCGTTAATCTCCCGTCTCATTCGTTCTGAGTGAATATCAATCGAATTGTCTTTCCCAGACTCCTTGTACATTTCCGTGATCAAATCATTTTGTAGTATGAGTATACCATTATTGTAAGTTAAAACTTTATTGAATCTTGCATTGTTCTTATTTATTGCATGCTAAATCTTTGCTCAATGTTCGTATGTTTGTGTACTGATGATCGCTGTAAATTGTTTTCACAGACAATGAGTGTTTTTGCAAAGTGTTATGTGTCACACAGATTTTTGATCGGATACTTTCACAAAGGCTGAGTTCATAAAATTCAACCATTAACAAGTTTAGTGTCATGATGAAAAGGAATTACATGTGTGTGAATTGCATGGAGCCGTCCACTTCACTATATCAGAGGTATTCGGAAGGTGTCATTCGATTATCGGACTGTGTACGTTTCCACGACGATTATAGAGAAGAATGATTTATTTCGTTCATAATCAAAATCTTACAACTTTGGTGATTTAAGAGTGGTGAGTAGTTCTTACCGCAACGATAATAGCTGAACACCGGTGGTATACCAATGAGGAGTAGACTACTGGACAACGTGGTTGCTTATAAAAATCGGGCCAAAGTATCCAACAGATTAGGTCATTTCGGATAGTTTATCCGCTGCTCTAAATAGCAGTAGTCTATATACCCCAATATGAAGTTAGTACTATCGATATGTGATCCTTAACTTGCTCATTGA